GCAGAGAGATGAGAAGGATGGCAATGGTGATCATTTGGACTCCCCCCATCCTTATCTTTGGATTTTCCTGCAAGTTGGAGTCGGAACCGCTCAGGGCAGCCTTTTATTAGACCCCCTTGGACCTGCTGTGGGCACCACGGGAACTACAGAATGAGTCTGACAGTGACCAATTCCTAGTGAAGTCGTATGCAGACTGACAATTCACAAAGCGCTCTGTCTCAGGGGAGCCTCCCAACAGCTGTGTGAGCTCAGGCGGGAGGAAATGCGCAGTATCTTCACTTTAGAGATGAGTACAACCGAGCTCAGAGAGGGCGACTGACATCCCTCAGGTCACACAGCCCAGAGGGGCAGCGCGAGACAACGCCCAGCGTTTCTCTCTCCCCGGTGGCCCCTTTTTACTGCACCTCCCCAGAGGGTAGACAAAGGACTCCACAGCTTGTGTGTGGGGAGCAAGCTTTTCTGAAAGACCATGGTCCTGGCAGCGGGATGGGTTTACCCCCCACCCCCACCCCCCGTCAGCTGAGCTGGAGAGCCTGCCCCTCCTCCCAGGGCTCGCTCTCAGTTGAACGGAACCACCAGTTGTAGTGGGCTGGCCCTGCAGGAAGCTCTGCTCCGCCTGGGCTTGGGGAGTGAGGTACCTGCAAGGCAGGGCTGGGAGTGGGGGGTGCCACGCAGAGGGGCGAGGCTGCAGGGGAGTGTTGGGGAGTGAAGCATGTGTGTCCTGCCAACACCACGGAGACCTGGCTTCATCTGGCCACACTGGGCAGGACCGACCCAACCCCAGAAGGGAGGTAGCTAAAGCAGATTCAGTCTGTCTGTCCAGCAAACATTCATCAGACCAGGCCCTTGCTTAGTTCCCAGCTTCCCACTCCTCTAAAAGCCGGTGAGAAAAGTCCAGATACCAAGGACTGAGCACCCACAGTGAGCCGGGCCCAATGCTGCAGGCCTCACCTGAACTAGCCCAGTCTACCCTCTCAGGTAGTTAGTCTATTAAAAAAAAGCAGATTCAGTCTGTCTGTCCAGCAAACATTCATCAGACCAGGCCCTTGCTTAGTTCCCAGCTTCCCACTCCTCTAAAAGCCGGTGAGAAAAGTCCAGATACCAAGGACTGAGCACCCACAGTGAGCCGGGCCCAATGCTGCAGGCCTCACCTGAACTAGCCCAGTCTACCCTCTCAGGTAGTTAGTCTATTAAAAAAAATTTTTAAATTGATTTCAGAAAGGAAGGGTGTGTGTGTGTGTGAGAGAGAGAGAGAGAGAGAGAGAGAGATAGCAATGATAAGAGAATCATTG